CCGTTCACCGCATGAGATGAAAATGCTCCGGAAGGATACTCAACTGAAAACAAGCAATTAAACGTTTGTTAATTCCAGTTATAAAAGGAAATTGAACTCATCTTACGAATGGGTAAGATAGAGTCACTACCTTATAAAGGGTGAGACGATTTGGCCACATTATGCACTTATAAGATAGGGTATATCGACAATATATACCTGCCTTATAAGGCACAATGCAGCGTCAAAACGCCCCCTTTATTTTGAGATATTGTTTTCAACAAGCAAAACACAACGTGGAGTAAAAAGGGCCAATTTGCAAATTTCCAAGAAAAAATGGACTAATTTGTAAATTTCCAAAAATAGCTCACCGGCATAAGAGGGAGGCGGTGCAGCGATGGCTAAAGAATCTTGAGTCTTTGAACCGAGGTTCTGGCGAGCGACTCTGGAGGAGGAGGAAGAGAGGTACTCTTCGAATTTCTGCTGGTCGAACTCGTACTCGACCTCTTCGTTCACCCGGATCTTGAGGGCCGGTTGCGTCACGACGGCGTCGGTTGCGATGCCGTTGGCTCCCACTGTGGTCGCCAGTCTGTTTTCGGTGAAAGTTGCTGTTTTCATTGCTTTTGGATCTGTTACAACTTCAATCGTTACAACAAGAATCGATAAAAAAAAAGTCGGTCTTTTTATAAGACCTCCTCGTGCAATAAAACAAAAATTACAACTTTTCGAAAATAAACACGAGATCCCGTTTTGGTGCGGTCTTGCTTGCGTGGGTCTTTAGCCTGTGACGGGGACGTCAATATCCGTGGACCACCGGTAGGTCAGATCCGTTCCGAGAAAATCGGACAGAGTTTCGTCTATCCGCGAGGGGATTTAGAAACTCTGAACTTCGTCGACCCGCGTGGGATCGAGAAGTTATGAAGCTTATATCTCGGCTAAGGGAGACACCAGCTCTTCTTAGTATTAACGCTGACGGCCAATACTAAGGAGAAGAGAAGGGGGAAGGAAGAAGACCCTTTTCTGCAAAGGCTCGAGCACTCCTCGCTCGGCGGGCTTCGCATAGCTCTCTCCAAGAAATCCTCCAAGGGCGCGAGAAGAAATCAAGAGCTAAATCAGGACCTCTCAAACTGAAGGCTAAGGGGCATTTATCGCAAACCAAAGAGGGGGCGAAATGATGAGGACACCCCCTTGGGGTGTCTTCGGCGGCCGAGACACCCCTTGGTGTCTCGCCGCCGAGACACCCCTGGGGTCTCGGCGGCCGAGCACCCCTTGGTGTCTCGCCTGGCCGAGACACCCCTTGGTGTCTCGGCCAAGCGAGACCCCCTAGGGTTCTCGCTTGGCCGGAAGCACCGTGGGTGTCTCGGCCTGGCCGAGACACCTGGGTGTCTTGTTTGCCAAACACCCTCGGGTGTCCGAGCTATGCCAACACCCCCGGTGCCCCAGAAGCGCGAGGCCCTTCCGGGTGTTTGCCGTTGATATCGTCCCAAACTCGGATAGTTGATTCGATGCGTTGGAATTCTGACGAAGAGCTTGTAGCTCCCCATGTTGATATCATGTGATGATCCAGGACAGTGAACGGTGTTGTCTCCTTTTGCAGCGGTGCGGGTTCTCGTCAGGTCGTATCCCTGTGCGAAAACTCTGTCCGGCTCACGTAGCTCGTCGATTCACTTCAGGCGCTCACCGACGTCAATTGGACTCTTGTGAACTGGGTAGTGATGTTCATCGTCATTCCCTAACACTGAGCTGTTCGTGGGGACCTATCGGTAATTTTTGATGCCTACAGATACCCCCTCCAAAGCGTTCCGGCCTCGTTTCTTTTATAGAAGAGACCGGAATGCTTTGGATATGATTGGTCCGGCCTTCAGTCGTCATAAGGGACCTGTGGTTAGCTTCAACTCTCGGCTCCTTCGATTTTCGGTTTATCCGATGCTTTGACGAATAACCGAAGTTTTTCCGGCGCTGCGTTTATCGCCTGGCCGTCGTTGGAATCTCGAGTCTACAGCTGGTGAATTGAGTTTGGCTCGTGTCATTGAGTTGACTTTTGAACTTACTATCCCTGTCACATCGTGTTGACCTGGGGTTTCGGATCACTGCACGTTGACTTTTTGACGCAACGCGTTGACTGGCGTTGACCTAGGGTTACGCGCTGACCGGCGTTGACCCTTAGGGTTTCGAATCGTCAAACGTTGACTTTTGTTGCAACGCGTTGACTGGCGTTGACCTAAGCGTTGACCCTTGGGTTTTGGAATCGTCAAATGTTGATTTTTGTCGCAACGCGTTGACTGGCGTTGACCTAGGGTTACGCGTTGACCGGCGTTGACCCTTATGGTTTCGAATCGTCAAACGTTGACTTTTGTTGCAACGCGTTGACTGCGTTGACCTAGGGTTACGCGTTGACCGGCATTGACCCTTAGGGTTTCGAATCGTCAAACGTTGACTTTTGTTGCAACGCGTTGACTGGCGTTGACCTAGGGTTACGCGTTGACCGGCGTTGACCCTTAGGGTTTCGTGCATCGAATGTTGAGTAGTGTTGATTTTCATCAAAACATCCAATAACCAACAGGGTTTCAAATCGTCAAATGTTGACTTTTGTTGCAACGCGTTGACTGGCGTTTACCTAGGGTTACGCGTTGACCGGCGTCGACCCTTAGGGTTTCGAATCGTCAAACGTTGACTTTTGTCGCAACGCGTTGACTGGCGTTGACCTAGGGTTACGCGTTGACCGGCGTTGACCCTTAGGGTTTCGTGCATCGAATGTTGAGTAGTGTTGATTTTCATCAAAACATCCAATAACCAACGAAAACAGGCGTATTCGGATCCAAAACAGGCGTATGAGGACGAAATAGGACCCGAAACACCCGGGGGTGTCTCGCCTTTGGCCGGGACACCTTGGGGTGTCTCGGCCAAGGCCGAGACACCCTAGGGTGTCTCGGTTTTGGGGCCGAGACACCCCCTCTCCCCTTTTGTCTTTTTCTCTTTCTTGGTTGTTTACCTTTCCCTTGTTTTGGTTCTATTACCCCTTTTGTTTTCCCCCCTCTTTTCGAAATTTCAAAGAAGATTCCCCCTCAAAACCGAACTCTTCCCCCCTATTTCGGTTTTGTGTATTCTTCTTCCCCAAACTTCTTTCCTCCATTGATTTGTTCTCAAGGATCCATCAATCCTTCAAGAGGGGCTAGGATTTTGGGTGTCTCCTATTGGCCGAACACTTGCTCCTCCAAGTAGGGTTCCCTCCTTCATCTTCAAGCTTAAAGAAAACTCTTTTGATTTGGTAAGCTCTTCTTTACAATCCTCTTATTTTCTTGTAAAGATTGCATCTTTATTCTTGTAGTAGACTTCGGGGGTTTTGTGCAAAAAGAGGTAATGGCCGAAACTTTGGGGGGGTTATTTGCAAAATTCATGGGGGTTTATTTGCAAAATGGGACTAAAATTTTGAGGCTTGGATTTCATTCCCCTTTGGTAACAATTTGGATGGGTGTTTCATGCAAAAAGACCATACCTTATTGAGGGTTTTATGTGTAAATAGGGGGCCGAAAACTTTGGGGGCTTATTTGCAAATTCGGCCAAAGAATTGGGGTGGTGTCCATGTAATAAAGGACTGAAGTTAGAACCTAGGTTACATGCTCATTTGGCCGAAAGTTTAAGGGGTACTTTAGGCAAGAGGACCAAAAGTTGTTAGAGGGGTCTATATGCAAGATTGGCTAAATTCTGCAAAAGGGCTCATTTGCAAACTTTAACCAAAATTGTGGGTACCGGGGTGTTATATGATCGAATGTGATGATCATGACCCGGGTTACGCGTGTCCTTGACCTGAATTTTGGCCTTGAACACGAAGGGTATTTTGGGTATTTCACCAAAATTCACCGCGAAAACGATCATTGTTTTGCGGGCACAAAATTGGTAGGTTTAATTAGACTTTAACTGTAAAATCCTATTTATTTATAGGATTTTAAGTCCAAGTGCTTAATTTCCCTTTTTAAATTTCGTGTATTCATATTGTACCTGACAGATTGCTTTTCACTGCAGATTTCCGATGTCTCCTCGTCACCATCGATCTTCCGGGAGTTATCCCCATTCGCAGCACAGTGAGGAGGAGGTTCCCACGACGTCTTTCCCGGCAGACTTTTCCTTCAGGGGTGAGAATTCTCTATTTCTGTATCCCTGACTGATCCCTTAGCGGGTCATTAAGGAAGAACCGATACCTCTTTCGCGGAGGTTAAGGTTTCGGACTTGTTTTGCTTAGCCAATTCAAGTCTTCGGATATATTGGGGCGATTCTTGTGTTGTCTTACACCTTGTAGTTCGGTATATGTTGCCACGTTGTTCACGTGATGATGCATACCGTTCTTCCGGTGTAGGACACTCAAAATCGTCTCTCCAATTATTCCGTGAATGAGCTTATCATTCTACTTATGAGACGGATTTTCTGACTCCATCTTTGTATTTTATTGCAGTTGAATTCCCCGCGGGTAGTCTTCCTGCTCATGCCAATGCCGGTTGTAGCCGGGAGGTTTTTTCCTCCACTTCCATTGGGCAAGTCATTAGCCCATTCCCACAGTTTGACCATGATCGTTCTGACGATTCCTGCCGTTTAGTACGGGAAGGAGGGCGCCATTGCTTGCGCCAGCTTATCACAGACGCCACTTTTACCGCTGATTCTACTTCCACTCAGGCTTTACAGAAGCCGAGCTTCTTGTTCGGGGATCATGTCGAGGACCCCGCTATACTGACTCTTGGAGAGGAGCACTGGCTGACTCTTGATGGAGGAGCTCTTTTATACATTCCATCAATTCCCCGCCAATATTCTTTTACCCATTTGAGGAGACAGGCCGTGAGGCGACAGATGTCCTGGGATCTTACTAAGGATGCTGAGCGAGTCCCGTGTGGATATACCTCTCATTCTAAGACCCCTGGTTCTGGCGGGTATCACCATATTCGTGGTCTTTGCCCAGGGATCACGGGCCTTGATACTGCACCCCCAGGTGAGACGTCAGCAGCTGCCTCTACTGTGGGTAATCGTCTGGCTCTTCTGGGGAGGCGATTACCTCCACCAGAGCCCAGATGCTATGGCTGGGCTTCCTCACTAGCCAAAGGGTGGTGGGCGCGCATGACTGATTTCGTCTTGGCGCGCTGGGAGAGGGATCTGAAGAGTAGTGGGTTATATGCACCCATACGAGCTACTATGTACGGAATCCCAGTTAGCTGTCGCCATTTCTTGGCTTTGCTGGAGACTTATATGCCCGATAGCAACACCTTCCTGACCAGCGGTGGTGAGCTAGGGTTGGCCTTGCACGAGATGCACCATGTTTCGGGTCTTCCGATGGGGGACTGTCCGTATCAGGAGTACTTCCCTACGAACCAGCAGCTGGAGTGTATGAAGAAAGATACTCCGGACATGTATGACACACTCTGGGATCTTACTTGCCACTACTACACTTCTTTGATCCAAACTTCTCCCCAAGCGAGAAGGAAGAGGCAGATCAGCTTGAAGCAGTTTGCCAGCTACTTGTTCCAGAACTTGGAAGGTGATTCCAGTGCGCCCATTCATGAATTAGACGTGATGACTCCTTCGGCCGTTAATGAGTTGTTGGAAAAGGCTGAGGTTCGTTCCTACACTATCGGCAGTGCTGAGGGGGCTTTTCCCGCGGGGACAAAGTTTCGCTCTTTTCTCCGCCGCGCACAGAGGTCTATAGGGTCCCGGGCGCTATTAGCAGGCTACCTTGCCCTTTGGTTGAAGAAGTGTGTCGTCCCGCACCAACCTTCTGACGCTCTACCCATCGAGGTGCTCTTCCCTGCAGTTCAGCTGGCTTATGGGAGAGAGCTTTCCCTGCTCCCAGCAATGGTTGCTAGTATCCATTGCGGGCTCAGGGGTCTGGTTAGCAGTTTTACACATATGGGTTCTGAACCATCAGCTGAGCTGGTTTGCCCAAAGGTTGAGCTCCCTTACGCATATTTGATGGCGTGGCTCGTTCTTCACCGTCCCGACTTGATGTCGGCCCCCAGCGTTGTTGACATCCCTGTCCCCTTCATGCAATTGTTGGAGCAGAGCAGATGGTTTGGGAGCAAATTTAGTGATGTTCAGCGAGAGCTCCGGGTCCGCAAGAGTTGGGAGTTCTTTAAGTGTTTCCCTCACTTTTCAGGTCGCTATGGCGACGTGCTGGTTGATGAGGAGAAACCTAGAAGTGACCGGACCGTTCTTGACGCTGGTTGCTTCCGGTGGTTAGTGAACATCCGTGTAGGCTATCTCGTCCTTCGGGTGAAGAACCAGTGCCACATAGAGCCTTATCTCCCTTGCCGCTTTGCTCGACAATTCGGCTATGACCAACTGTATGTCGGGAATCCGAGCCGCAGCCTGCGGGTTGAGGGAGGATTGATTGATGGCGAGCGTGGCTATGGACGATGGTGGGCTGCACTGGAGCCCGTTTTGCTCTTCCTTCGTATCGGCGTAAGCCACTGATCACTTTCCTCAGCTGCAAGTGGTTCCTTTCTGCATATGAGTCCATCAGCGTGAGGAGCCTCTCAGAGTTGCAGTCCGAGTACGCGGTCCGGGCTGCTATGATGGCTGGTCGCAGAGCTGAGCTTGCTCAGAAGCGGAGAAAAGGGCATGCCAAATCTCTTGTCTCAGACGAAGAAGAACTTCTCCCTGCGGGTGATGATGACGAGAACTCCGAGGACGAGTATGCGGACGCGGATACCGGCAGAGGGGACCTCGATACTGGTTTGTCCTATCTCTTTTAATTTTCATTTTCCATAAATGACAGCTCTTTTTCATTGAAATGGCTATTGTCACTTTAGGTAGGGCAGCCAATGATCATGAGCCACCAGCTCCTACACACGTTGAAACGTGTGATAGGCCTGCGCATGTTCGACCTGTTGGCCCTCGAAGGGTTGGTGCCCTGAAGAGGAAGAAGACCGCCCATAAGTCCCATGACGGTCAGCGTCCCTGTGGAGTGGACTTAGGGAGCACCGCCGATGGAGGGGGAGGTAACATTCAATTGCTCTTGCTTCAAGGTTGTTTACCTTTTGTGATTTGTAACCATGTTTCGTGCTTCAGGGTTCTTCGAAGAGGGCGAAATCCCACCGGGTCCGGTGTCTCCTGGGCCTGATAACATGGATTGCTTTGTGCGACAGATGTGCGACGCCCTTCATGACGGGTCTCTGGGCATCGATCTGAACATTGACCTCGAACAGATGAATAATGTCGAGCCCACAGTCCCTTATTCAGGTATATCCACATTCAATGTCATTTTCCTCAAGCATGGGGAAGGAAGATTTCCCGTTTTTGCTGAAACTATCTTCTCGAGCTTTCCTCATCTTTCAACATTCAGGTTACCCTGCAGATGTTGCGATGGAGGGACCAAGCTCCTCAAAGCCGGATGCCGGCTTATTAGCTGACATGCTGGCTGAGCAGACTTCCAGAGGGACCGAGAGACCATTCTTCAGGAACGATTCATCTACCGGTACATATCTGCTTCTTCTCCTCTTGCCTGATCTTCTTTCTGACTAATGAATGAATTATTATCGCAGCGTCAACCATTGGAGTTAGCCCGATATCTATCCCTGGCATATCCAGTCTGCCTCAGAGTGACGGGCTTGCAGGTATGCATACGATTCAGGGATATTGTACTTTCCTATGTTCATCTGACTTTTGACTAATATATGAGTGCGATCATAGGACCAGCCACTAGGACTGATTCTCATATGACTCCTGGCATCCCTCAAATGCCTACGGGTGAAGGATCTACAGGTATGCAGATGACTGTACTATCCCAATCCTTCTTATTGGTCTAAATTTTCATTTTGACTAATAAGAGGCTGCCATCATAGGACCAGCCGCTTGGGCCGATACTCTTATGACTCTTGGCATCCCGGCTGTATAAGAGGACGGGGGGAATGCAGGTATGCATGCGATTTTCTTGTCCCGATTCTCTTTACTTTTCCATTTGGTTAACATAGGAGTGTCACTATTGGACCGGGCGCTGGGCCTGATACCACTACAGTTCTCGGGACTGAAAGCCTTCATAGTAATGGTGCCTCCCCGCCTTTGCCGAGTGGTATGGGCAATCCACCTGCAGGTGCTGATATACCTTCTTCTGCTACTGTCTCAGAGCCCGTCGGACCTCAACCCGAGGGGACGTCCGTTGGCATCGGTATGCTCCGAACTTGCCTTTTGATCTTTCTCATCGTAGTCAATAATCTACTGAGCTTCCAAGTCGTTGCTTGTAGGATCTCGATCTTCTTTGCACGAACGTGTCCGTAGCCTTTTGGTCGATACTGATCCTGACAGAGAGGCTTTCCGTACGGACCTCAGTTTCTTCACCGCCTTCTATAATGGCTTGATCGAGAAGCTTCTTCACCGAGGAGGCGGTTTTGATCAGTTCCGGCGTTCCTTCTCTCGCCACATGACGATGATGAGGGAAGAGGGATACCCGGACTTGGCTGATTCCTTTACCGCTGATTTCGCCGCCCTGGAGTTAGAGATACGGGAGTTGAAGGAGTTGGAGGTTACTGGGGCTTCCTCTTTCGTGTCTTCTCAGTTGGAGCTTAGGATGGCACAGTGGCGTGACTTGAGATCCTCCATCGGGTGCGAGCTTCAGTCACATGAGAGTACCATTGCGCAGCTGATGACCGTCGTGGCGAGGCAAGATGCGGATAGAGCTGAGCTACTCCGTTCTTCGGACTCAAACCGCGAGGAGGTGGCTAGGTTGAGAGAGGCTTTGAAGCGCGCTGAGGAATCTGCTGTTCTTATTGCAGATGACCTGATTGGACTAGAGCGTTCTCGTGAGGAGGCACTCGAGAAGCTGGGATCCACTCAGGAGAGACTGATGAAGCTGAAGAGCGAAGCCGCGGAGATTTTAAGCCATTCTGAGGAGTCTGCTCGAGCTGATCTACAGGCGGGGCTTGAGCGGAGTTACGTAGATAGACTTTTTAGCTTAAAGTCTCGTATTCTCAGCCGCCAGTTGCCTTCGGACTAACGAGCTTTTGTTGTATGCTTTTGACTTGATTTATTAATAGAAAATCCGCATTTGCTTCTTTTGTGTTTTCTCTGTATCTCTTCCGAATGACAGATTTATGGGATTTTTGGCAAACCCCCAGCCATCAACGGGTTTGAGGTGCCTTTACCGATTACCGTTTGAATCGGGCTAGCATGCGGATTGTCGAAATCCGTTCCGCATGTAACGTTGTGCTGAGAGAGTAAACTCTCTGAGGCTTTGTGCTATGATCTTGAATACATAGGCTTCGTCTTTCTCACGGGAATAGACTACCCGGCAACGCGTGTTAGGCGTTGACTTTGGGGTTTTTGGCAAACCCCCAGCCTTCAACGGGTTTGATGTGCCTTTACCGATCACCGTTTGAATCGGGCTAGCATGCGGATTATCGAAATCCGTTCCGTATGTAACGTTGTGCTAAAGGAATGAACTCCCTTAGACTTGCTGCTACGACTTCGAATACGTAGACTTTGCCCTTGTTACGGGAATAGGCTACCCGGCAACACGTGTTAGGTGTTGACTTATCCCTACTTAGGATTCGGGATAAAATTCCCCACGCACCAAGTGCGCGGATTGGAAGTTGAAAGTTGTGTCAAAATAGGAGAGGAAGAATTTTATATTCTATCTCCCGCTGGAAAGGAAACTTGAGGTGGGATTCCCCACCCCCAGTATCTGGAAGGATGAACTGGGAATGGGATCTCCACTCCGAGCACCCGGAATGATGAACTGGGAGTGGGGTCGCCACTCCGAGCATCGGAAAGGTCCGAGGAGAGGAAGAATTTTATATTCTATCTCCCGGTGGAAAGGAAACTAGAGGTGGGATTCCCCACCCCCAGTATCCGGAAGGATGAACTGGGAGTGGGATCTCCACTCCGAGCATCGGAAAGGTCCGAGGAGAGGAAGAATTTTATATTCTATCTCCCGGTGGAAAGGAAACTAGAAGGGGGATTCCCCACCCCCAGTATCTGGAAGGATGAACTGGGAATGGGATCTCCACTCCGAGCACCCGGAATGATGAACTGGGAGTGGGGTCGCCACTCCGAGCATCGGAAAGGTCCGAGGAGAGGAAGAATTTTATATTCTATCTCCCGGTGCTAAAGAGGAAGAATTTTATATTCTATCTTCAGCTGGAAAAGAAACTCGAGGTGGGATTCTCCACCCCCAGTATCTGGAAGGATGAACTGGGAATGGGATCTCCACTCCGAGCACCCGGAATGATGAACTGGGAGTGGGGTCGCCACTCCGAGCATCGGAAAGGTCCGAGGAGAGGAAGAATTTTATATTCTATCTCCCGGTGCTAAAGAGGAAGAATTTTATATTCTATCTTCAGCTGGAAAGGAAACTCGAGGTGGCACACCCCCAGAATCCGAAAGGCTCAAACGACCCTAACTGTCGTAAGGTTTGGTCATTTGACTCTGAAGAGGAAGAATTTTATATTCTATCTTCAGAACTGGAGAGGAAGAATTTTATATTCTATCTCCAGCAAAAGAGGGAAACTCGAGGTGGGATCTCCACCTCCAGAATCCGCAGGATGAAACTAGAAGTGGGATCTCCACTCCGAGAATCGGAAAGTTCAAACGACCCTAACTGTCGTAAGGTTTGGTCATTTGAACAAAAGATGACTCGGTCTTAGTCTCGACCAGGGTAAGTTGTGACTAAGCGAGGGTTCGAGATGACCCTAACTGTCGTAAGGTTTGGTCATTCGGGAGTTTGAAAGTGGACCTCTCGTTCATTGAAGGAATCGAGAGGGGACTTTGGCTTTGGTCCTAACTGTCGTAAGGTTTGACCAAGTGGGAAATTTGGAACGATCACAACTACGTGAAAGTTTGACCGCCCGATTTGTGGACCTCTCGTTCGTTGAAGGAATCGAGAGGGGACTTTGGCTTTGGTCCTAACTGTCGTAAGGTTTGACCAAGTGGGAAATTTGGAACGATCACAACTACGTGAAAGTTTGACCGCCCGATTTGTGGACCTCTCGTTCGTTGAAGGAATCGAGAGGGGACTTTGGCTTTGGTCCTAACTGTCGTAAGGTTTGACCAAGTGGGAAATTTGGAACGATCACAACTACGTGAAAGTTTGACCGCCCGATTTGTGGACCTCTCGTTCGTTGAAGGAATCGAGAGGGGACTTTGGCTTTGGTCCTAACTGTCGTAAGGTTTGACCAAGTGGGAAATTTGGAACGATCACAACTACGTGAAAGTTTGACCGCCCGATTTGTGGACCTCTCGTTCGTTGAAGGAATCGAGAGGGGACTTTGGCTTTGGTCCTAACTGTCGTAAGGTTTGACCAAGTGGGAAATTTGGAACGATCACAACTACGTGAAAGTTTGACCGCCCGATTTGTGGACCTCTCGTTCGTTGAAGGAATCGAGAGGGGACTTTGGCTTTGGTCCTAACTGTCGTAAGGTTTGACCAAGTGAGAAATTTGGAACGATCACAACTACGTGAAAGTTTGACCGCCCGATTTGTGGACCTCTCGTTCGTTGAAGGAATCGAGAGGGGACTTTGGCTTTGGTCCTAACTGTCGTAAGGTTTGACCAAGTGGGAATGTGTGGCGAAGACTATGAGTAATCGAACACCAATGAAAGTTTTGTGAGGGAAAATTAATCCCTCGAATGATTGGATCTCATCTGATGAGGGTTAGAGTCTGACAAACTAGAACATTCGGGGTTCGAATGTGGACTTCTTGTTCATCTCTCTTATACCGACCAGGTTATCCCTAAGAATACCCCAATGTGGTATTCTTCCGGGAACTTCCCGATACATCAGCTCCTTCTGAAAGGTGCTAAGGATAGTACCTCTTCAGGAATTTGCCATTTATTGGCATCATCAGCCGATCACCATCTTTGGTGACTAGGCGATAGGCGCCGTTTGAGTAGACTGTTTCTACTACGAACGGTCCTTCCCATTTGGGCTCGAACTTGCCCTTCTTCTTGGAGCTCAGGTTCATAGGATGTCTTTCAGTTAAGACCAAATCCCCTTCCTTAAAACTCCTTTGTCGAACCTTTTTGTCGAAGGCTCGAGAAATTCTGGCTTGGTAGAACTCGATATGCTGTTGAGCCTCCAGGCGCTTTTCATCGAGCATCTCGAGTTCTTCGAGGCGCTTTTGATGCTGTT